GGAATCCAGCTCCATTTGAAATTCCCAACGTCTTCGTGAACCTGAGCAGAGAAAGGTAAATATGGGTGACTGTATGCTGCAGAGGCTCTGAGGCTGACACGCACACCTCTCGAGTCTCAACATGTTATTGCGCTGACCTCTGTTTCAAAGTGTCCTTCCAGTTGGCAGGTCTGAAACCAAGATGAAAGTGAATTAATTAAACTGAGCCCTGCATTAAAGAACCAACTCAGCAAGTGACACTGATGTCACAGTGATCTCTGGGTCAGAGCCATAGTTGACAGTTTGGCATTCAGAGTGATATTTAGTTCATTTCCCTATGAATGCATATTAATGTTGTTATCCATATTAATTTTTTCATTTGTTTTTCTAGGGTCGCATCTAGCTGACATTTGGCACACATGCATCCATGCTGCTTTAATGGATCCCCACATCTGTGTGTGGGCCATAGTCTGTATATGAGACTGATATAGCTTGTGGGTTTGGAAGCGAATCCTTTGCAGAAGTGGCTTCAAATGATACATATATACATATATGTATTTGCAACCCCAATTGCAAAACATTTGGGACTCTATGTAAAATGTAAAACAAAAACAAGGATGTAGGGATTTGCAAATGTCGTAAATCTATACTGTATTCAGAGAGCATAGAAAAAAAGGACATAAAAATATTTAAATGTACACATTTTACTGTTTCATAAGAAATATTAGCTCATTTTGAATTTGATGGCGGTGACGTCTTAGAAAAGTTGTAACACGAGCAACAAAAGGCTGCAAAAATAAGTGAGGAAAAATAACAGATCAGTGACATTATTGGGTATAAAGTAGCATCTTAAAGAGACCAACTATTAGAGAAACAAAGATGGGCAGAGGTTCTGCAATCTGCATAAAATTGCATCTACAGTTGTGGAGCATGTTCCAAATAATGTTCCTATGTGTTTAATTATGTATGCTTTAAATATCTAAGCATCTACAGTGTATAAAATAATCATAAAAGTCAGGGAATTTGGAGAAATTTTGAAATCTGTGCGCAGTGGAGAAGGCTGAAAATGAATACTGGATCCTTGTGATCAGGCAGCACTGCACTAAAAGCAATAAAATCTAAGCATATGATAGGAATTCTTCTTCTTCTTCTGAAATGTTCCCGCTGCCTTTGTTTTGTCCATGACTGGCTGTTTAGTGAGCCATAAACTTAAGTAAAAGCATGCGATACCTAAGCCATCTCCCTAGACCTTCATTGATATTCTGAGTGTTTCCCTCAGTTTGGTTCCTTTCTGGTTACTCTGTTATCCGTCCACATGTCCAGAGCAGCTTTTGTTGATTGTTAATTTAAATCCAGACTGACAGAACAGCCTGTTTTAGTAAAACATTAAGCCAGGATGTAAAACAGCGCTTCATGTTCTTGAAATTTCACAGGTCATGCAGAGAGTGTTCAAGACGTCCTTTGAATCTTTTTCTCATTTTTATTTTCAGCTGCTGTGAAAAAACAAGACTTTTAAGGCTCAAACAGCAGATACATCAAATAAAAAGGAATCTAAGGACAAATCTTTTCCTGAACACACTCGCAGCTGAAAAAATGCAAAGTTTATTGTTTTGCTTTGGTGCACCTGCAGCTTCATTCGTCTTGACATCTCATGCTGATCCTTACACAAGAGCACACATTCCTCATAACTAATCACCAAGACACACACCAGGCAGTCTCAGATAGAAACATCTACTCCATAAGCGCAATACAAATATGAAAAACAAATAATTGGAAAAAGATTTTGTTTTTCTTTTGCCCTTTATGAATGGTTCTGTCTCATAGCCTTTCTTCTGAATTGCACGAATGGAAGGACACCTTACGATTGACTGATTGACTGCTAATTCTGTTGTGTAACAAAAGCTTGTTACAGATCTTTCAAATAGTTGAATATTTATCAGCATGATGCAACAAGTCAAACACATACTTGCTGTTTTTCAGTTGTTTAAAGGTGTCGTAAACCTTTTTTGTTCATATATTACCAGCAAACCGGCCCTTGCTTGATTTGCGAACAATTCAAGAAGAAAGAAAAGAATATTTCAAAAAACGAAAGAAAGAAAGAAAATGACAAAGAAAATCAAATTCAGCCGGCCTGACACGTATGAACACACACACACACACACACACACACACACACACGTTTGTGCGCACACACTGCCCTTCGTGTTATGTAGTCACTAAAGGGCAGGGAGTGCATCTCAGAGCAGCGAGCTGAGCATAGTTATGTGCTCACTCTTGATGCTGAAGCTCACTTGCAGTGAAGGACTTGACGCTGCCACTATACAACAAAGAGTACTCTACCTCAGCTTTCGCAGAACAAGCTGGTAATACCTCAAGAATTCACAGTGTACTTCAGGTAATCCAAACTTCAGGAAAGCTTTTGGAATTTGTGAGCCGATTGCTCACTTTTCCATGGTGCAGCAACAAGACGACTTTAACTTTATTTAGCATTTATAGCTTTGTTTTTTAAGGACTGTCTGTGGACCACTTTGCTAGCATTCATTTGAGCTGCATTAATTGTTTTAATGGCGATGCTACAGTAACCAACATAGTCACTGTGCATTCTTTTTCCAGTTTATCTAATTAGAGAAGACTAACTCGGCAGGTAAGTCTGTTTAACTCTCTAATATTTAACACTATCACAACATTCAGTGGTTGTTTTTCACAACCAGTGTTTTTTTCAATGTTGTCACAGGTGCCGGAACCAAGTTCATTGGGAAACAACAGCATAATCTAGTGCCATTAACATTAAAGTCACCTTCTAGCGTTCTAGTTGTACAAAAGCATGGGGTTCAGCGACCTCCTTGAGCAGGTGGGCAGCACAGGCCGCTTCCAAATCGTGCACGTAACCCTCCTCTCCACACCCATCCTTATGTTGGCCAGCCACAACCTGCTGCAAAACTTTGTGGCTGCGGTGCCTCCTCACTACTGTAGCGCTCACTCAAATCTCTCACAGTCCCAGCTGAGCCCAGAGGAAGCTTTGCGGATCACAGTACCACAGGACCACAGAGGAAAATTGCACAGGTGCCAGCGTTACGTTGTTCCACAGTGGCACCTCCTGGATAAAAATGGGACCTCCAATTTGAGAAATGAGGGAAACAGTGTGGATGATCTGGATGCTGACCTGCAAGGATGCATAGATGGCTGGACGTACAACATGGCTGACAGAAGCTCCACAATCATATCTGATGTAAAACTGCATTTTTATCACACTGTTTCAGTCAACTTGTCATCGCAGTGCAGATGTTCATATGCTGTAATGTGCATTTTTTGCTAGTGGCATTTAGTGTGTGACCAGCACTCTTTGAAGCAAATGGGACAAACCATCTACATGGGAGGCGTGCTTGTGGGAGCGTTTCTCTTCGGAAGCCTTGCAGACAAGTAACACCAATAATATACAATAAGCTGAATGTGTAATATTTTGACTCGTCTTTGAAATGAAAAATCTTAATTGCCCAGTGGCATGAATAATAAACAGTTCAGCAAGTCAAATAATGTTTCACCGATGGCCCTCATGTCTTCTAGATATGGTCGACGTATCCTCCTGCTCATGTCTTACCTTCTGATGGCGGTCTCTGGAACATGTGCTGCATTTTCTCCTTCCTTCCCTCTGTTCTGCTTTTTCCGGTTTGGTTGTGGCATGGCTCTATCTGGCATAGCACTCAACAGCTTGTCCCTCAGTATGATTTTTAGTTCCTTTATTTTACTTGACTAAAGGGATGTTGATGACATGGGCTCCCAATCTTATGAAAATGTGTTTCATCTGTTTCAAGTTCTTGAGTGGATCCCCACTCATGTGAGAACTGTGGTGGGCACGATGACTGGCTACTGTTACACACTGGGCCAGCTGATCCTGGCATTGATGGCCTACTACATCCGGGACTGGAGGTGGTTAACCCTGGCTGTGTCTTTGCCTTTCTATGTGTTCTTCCTCTACGCATGGTGAGATGGCAATCATTGAACTGAAAAGTTTCAACTATAGTCACCAATGTAAGCTAAAACATTTTTAAAAAATGTAGCAAACCTAACCAATATTCCTTATAGGTGGTTTCATGAATCCGCAAGATGGTTGGCCTTAAAGAATAAGCCTGATCGGGCGATCAAGGGACTTAAAAGTGTGGCTAAGTTTAACGGACGGTGTGATGAGGGAGAAAAAATTGACATTAAGGTAAGGGAATATTTAAACTGTGGGACATAAATCTGTGTTCCACATAAACAGACTGTATATTAACAATGTTTTCTCTTTGTGCACAGATGCTCCAGGAGTCCATGAAGAATGAGCTGTCCATGTCAAAGGGCTCCTACACTGCCTTGGATCTGTTCCGCACACCCTACATGAGGATTAGCACAGTCTGTCTGGCAGCTGCCTGGTGTGTGTGTGCTGCTCTTGTAGAAACACTCAGTGACAGATTTACAGCACCTTCTGTGAAACTGCAATGACACCAAGTGTATTTTTATATTTAGGTTATCAACCAGCTTTGCCTACTACGGCCTTTCCATGGATCTGCAAAAGTTTGGAGTGGATATTTACCTGATACAAGTGATCTTTGGAGCTGTTGACATACCAGCTAAAATCATCATCGCTGTGACTATGAGTTATATAGGGCGCCGGCCGTCGCAGTCTGCTGCTCTCATCATCGCTGGGGTCACTATCTTGATCAACCTGCTGGTACCTTATGGTATGTCAGAACACAGACATGTGCACAAGATAAGGCTGAGAAGAAGCAAGTGAGTGACCTGATGGATGTGCCGCTTTTTTGCAGATCAACAAACTCTGCGGACCTCTCTGGCTGTTGTGGGTAAAGGTTGTCTTGCTGCATCTTTCGTCTGCTGTTACCTTTACACTGGAGAACTGTACCCAACCATTATTCGGTAAGTCTCATCTGGCAAAACCATAAAACTATCAGCAAGGAATCTAGATGACTTTGGTTTAACAATGAAATCTAGGTTTCGCTGAAGAGCAACAACTAAGGATAATCGCTAATCCAGGGGTGGCTGCTTTTTTGTTTTTTATACAGTAGTAGATTTACAAATTCTGTGAACTGGAAAATCTATTGGTAACACTTTATAATATGAACTGCAAATTGCAGGCAAGTACGCTGTACTTACATGCATTTTGAGGGCAACAAGTCAGGTTTTTGCAAAAAATAATGAACAAGTACACTATAAGTACCCTGTACTTACATGCATTTTGTGGGCAACATGTCAGGTTTTTGCAAACAAGTGAAACAAGTACAGGGTACAAACAGTGTACTCGTTTGAACGTTTTTGCAAAAACCTAACTTGCCTGCAAATTATTCACAGGTCATGTTATAAAGTGCTACCAGACTTTTTATGTTTTATAACTGAAGGACAGTCTAAGCCAGACCTTCCCAAAGCGTGGGGCCCGCCCCCTGGGGGGGCGCGCTTCAAATCACAGACAAACAGTATCCCACATTCTTGATTTTTAGTTCACACACACTTGTTGTAATGACTGACTACTCCTGACATTTTAGAGATGTTAGCTCTGTATACAGTAAAGTTACAGTGGGATACAAATACTATCAGGCTGATCCTGCCACGATTTGTTCCCCCTGTCTAAATCACGGACAAACAGTATCTCACACTTGTTTATGTTTTTCAACCCATTTTGCACAGACAGGCATTTTTCGAAAATGAATTGATAGCAATGTTGAATATTATTACACGGGGGGAAAAAACAACTACACGTAAAAATTCGTGCACGCGCACACGCGAACATTTTTCTTGTAAAACAAAGGGGGGCCCAGCAAAAAAAGTTTGGGAACCACTGGTCTAAGCAATGAGTTCCAAATAATGTCTTTGTCACGTAGAAAACCTGAACTGTACCGTTGAAATTGTGCTGATTTTTCTTATATTAAGAAATCTAAGGTATTAAATGTGTAGACAAACTTCTTTACACTGATATAAAGAGGAGTTTGAGGAGTTTCACTGGTCTGGCCCACTTAAGTTCAACGTTGGCTGGATGTGGCCCATAATGACATCTCTGCTCTAATATATGGTTTCATGACATTTTAATAGTCTAAGACTGCACATGCACTTCTTTACTATCACTAAAATGATTTACATATTTACTGACCCTCTGTTGACACAATCTCTGACTTTACTAGTGTGTAGTTATGACTGTTTGCAGCTGTTTTATGGTTTTATGTCTTCTCTCTTAGTCAGAATGGCATGGGATTGGTGTCCAGTATGGCACGTGTAGGAGCTATGGTGGCCCCCATGGTGCGCCTCACAGGAGACTACATACCTTGGCTACCAGGTTTAATCTATGGAGGGGCGCCAATCCTCAGTGGGGTTGCTGTTATATTTCTTCCAGAAACGCTTGGCACACCCCTTCCCGACACAATACAAGATGTGGAGGAGAGGTAAGATTGAGTTCCAGGACGCAGCATGTGTTCCTTTTATTTTATCTCTGCATGTCCCAGAATCAAAACATTAATTTTAGAAACAGAACTCAGGAGGACTCGAGGGTAACGTATACAGCAAATAGCAAATCATCATGGTTTACTCAAGGCCAAAAAAAGCACATAAGACTAGAAGAGAGAAAGAGAGAGGGAGAGAAGGGAGAAAAAAAATAATATATCCACATTTGCATTTTCTATTTTGCACACAGGGGATCTGGGAAACGCTCCAAAATGTCACCAAAAGAAACAATAATCTTGGAAGACACCGGGGCGAACCTCCTAAAGCCTGTTGCCTGAGTGTTCTTGTACTCCACATGTTAATGAAAGTAGAGTGAGTGCTACTTTTATCTCTTCTCTGTTTGATTTCCACAAATTTGGTTCACCTTATGATTGCTGGACGAATGTTTTTTCTTTCGTTTTGTGAACAAATGAGTTAAATCCGAAGCGAACGCCACCGTGAAAAGAACGCTGTGGACAATCAGACCTGTTTATCTGACAATCAGTAGATTTCAGGATCTTAATCTTACTTTGCACATGTCATTATTATTATTTTTTATTTGTATTTTGAATGTGTAGAGCGATTTCTTTAATTTGAGCCTTTCACAGGTTAAAGACGGCATCCACTGGTATTGTATTGTTCTATACACAAGCCCGTATTGGAAAACAATTGCCTTTTTGTCTTTTAAATCAAGACTTCTTATAATCCTTTTTAAATCTCAAAGTCTGTCTTTTTTATGGACGTTTGAACACAAATACTAGTAAAACCCCTTTCAGTCTACTTCATCTGGCATGAGTCACTTTGAGCTGAATTAACTAAAACGAGACAGAACAAGAAATCAAGGATTTGGATTTAAATAAAAGCAGCAGATGAGCCACACAACAGAAGGCACAAAGTATAAAAACGAAATAAATAGATTCACAGCAGGAATCTGACATGCCGTTGTTTTTCACTGCCCCCCCCACACACACACACAGTTTTGCTATAGCATTGTTGTTGTGAACACAAGAGTAAAGGCAGATTTCCCATGAATTATGTGAAATGAACCCCCACTCTTTAAAAATTGAACACCCTAGTTAAGTTTGAAGGGCAGATCAGTGTTTTGTTGCTGAAGCAGGTAGCTTGGATGGGTCAGAGGATTTTGTTTGTGTTTTTCATAAGACAGCCTCCGAGAAATGTTGTAGTTTCTTAGATTTCAGTCCATTTAATTTAATCAACTACTTTTGTTCTCAGCACGCTGCACGCTCTGGATTTAACGCCGCTCTCTTGAGTTCTCACAGTTACCACCCGGAAAACGATCATCACGCAAGCAAAAATGTAATGCAGTAGTTATCAATGTAGTTATTAAACGGATGGTGGTCAGCGAAAAGAATGATAAGAGTGAATATTATGGAAACATTACTTGATCTCGTCCCTTTCCTTGAATCGGTTCAGCGGATTTGCTGCTTTTCTCTCAGTTACTGCTGTTACACGGATGTGAGGGGGGGATGTTACTGGTAAAGGAGGAAACAGTGCTGATGCGGAGCACCACTCACGCCTACAAAGGGTGAACTCTTGTGATTTGAAGACTTCCGCATCTTGCTGCTTGTGACACCATCTAGTGGTGCATATATGCCAATGCAGGAGCTGAACTTCCCATCACGGGAAGGTATCCATGTGAGGAAAAAAAATTAAAGGTGGAAAACGAAATCTAAAATGAAAGCTTGACCATATTGAGGTTTTGTCTTTCAGTGTTTAAATATTGGACTTGGATTTCACATATTGTAGCTACTCTCATTTATCAGAACAGTTGATATTTTGGCCATATAGTCATCCACGATTAACAAAACAGGCAGCGTCACAATACTAGTATGCTTTGGTTCGTGTTCCTTATTAAAAGATCTGTCTGGAGTGAAAAAACCCAAACAAACCAGGATTTACAATAAATAGATTCATACTTATAGCCTCATATCAACATGTATGTTTTCAATTTAAGGCTCGTACTTTCCTCTTTGAAATAGTTAAAGTTCGCCAGTGCTCTTGCTCTCACGCAACAAATGCATTGTTGTGTGTGTCTGGCACTAACTGTATGAAACTGCTATCTAAAACCTTTTGGTTGCAACATATAAACCCTCGATCACTGTATTAAATAGATTTTATTTCACTGTCAGGTTTTATGCGTGCTCTCCTGAGACACCTTGCGCACGCCAGACGAGTCCAACCCCAAGCCAAGAAAAAAAAAGAAAGAGAGAGAGAGAGAGAGAGAGAGAGAGAGAGAGATGAATCAAAATACAGAGCAAGGCGGTCTACAGAAATGACTACAACGTAAAATGATATGAATAAAGATTTATTTTCTCATATGAACAGGTGGATTCATTTTTCATTGTATTTTACAATCTATGACAATCTCGCAAGTTTTTTCTTTTTTCTAGCATATTTCAGGAATGACATGGGGAAAGGTTCTTTTTTATTGCTGAATGTTAAATGAAATACACTTTCACTGACTGGAAAAGAATTGTCTGCTGCTTTTTTTGTGTGATTTTTTTTTTTAAATCTCTTTTTTTTAAACCATGCACCCATCTAACCTTGACCACAAGGACATGCAGAGGAGAGGTGTTCAAACATTTCAAGCGAGGGTGGGGTCGGGTGGGGGGTCATAAATTTCAACAGAAGAGGCTGATTGGACGTGCCCGGTAGCATCTCAAATGGGTGAGAGGACTGGCAGGGTGAAGGGGCTGTCACATTAAAACTGGAGGTGAAGTCTTCTTTTGCACTTTTCTGACATACAAAATTAGACCCAGAGGTGAGAAACTCAATGAAAACATCTGCATGTTGTGACCGATGTGTGACCATCCTCTATTGCCGTGCCACTGTGCATTTACCATATACCAGTCAGAATTGCAGATCAGTGTTTAAAAGGCATTTCCCCCCCTAATTGCAGCATTCCATTGTTTTTAATAAGGAGGAGCAGAAATATACCGACAGAGACGAAACATCAGCTGTCCTTTCTGTGCGAGCCACACTGACGGCTGTGACTTTGAGATATCTTTCAAATATTTACTTCTCCCTCAGTGGAGGACAAAGGGCTTAAAATGAATTTATTCACTTTCAAAATCATCATTTACAGGCTAAATTTTAAATGACTCCATCAGTCAACAAGACAAAGCAGTACACATTACTATCAGAGGAGAAACTATTTGGATTCTATCGGCTATTACTGGGAAGTATGCACGTGAGGTGGAGGGATCTAAGCCGAGTGATAAAATAATTCACAGACACAGTCATTCAATGGACGTGACGTTAAGTGAACAAGAAAGGCTGAAAACATGATAGACGGCTGCATAATGGCTTTCAAAAAATAACTCGGGTAAATATGCATTTGTATCATGTTATTTCATTCTACACTATAGGCATCACATTTTTTTTTCCACACAACACACTACAGTCACCTCTTAGAAAATGATGTAATCAAACAGCAAAATAGAAAGTTTGCATATTTTTGCATCATATGATCCTCCAAAGTTTCACAGCTATTTCGTTAATATTGTCTAGTATGCTCTGTACTGTGATCCACTGAGCTGCTTCCACCTGACTTTACTTTTCTCTGCATGGGAATGATCGGGGTACTAGTAACTGCGTGTTAACACGTAGGTCCTCAGCATCTGAGAACTTGAATCTTAGGTAGACCTAAACTTAAGGAAGAGGTTGAGCAGGGCTTGAGGTGGAGGCGGGGGGATGCATGTGGAAATCCTGAGACGCTGGTGGCCTTAAACGTAAGCCACGAAAACAGAATGGACACAGAAGGATGATTAGGCGTGGGATTCGAGTGAAAACAGACGCAATCTTTTTGTTTTGCCACTGCCTCTGACAGCAGGGGTCACCCTGTGCCAAGCGGCTCAGTGTTTGTTGGCCACATACCAGGCTAAAGCAAGGAAAACCTGTTGGGAAATAATCATTTTCAAAAAATTTTTTTAAAAAAAGGACGTAAATGGGGCGGGCTGGGGAGGGGCAGAATAGCTGTAAACACATCAAGCAATGACCTGCATAACATGCAACCCTACAGCAGCCTTGCCTGCTCACCTACACTGGGGTCACTGTTCTGATTAACCACTTTTCTGTGAACCTCCGAGACTCTTTACTCTCACTCTCCTGAGACACCAGTAGACCCACACATTTGATGTTACCACAACAAACAGTGAAGTTCATCTAACAGTCACAAACGCATGCAAGCAACACACACAGGTGCGCACGAGCGTGCACAAACACGCACACACACTCGCAGACATTTATGCACACGCAACACAATTTCTCACTCTCTGTGACTCTTTTTCTCTTGGTAGACATTAGTTAGCGGGCAAAAAAAAAAAAAAAAAAAAGAAAAGAATCTACATCGCATTTATGAGGCGTTCTAATAAATCCCAAATCATAAAAGAAAACCCTACAGGCGAATCATATTATCATATGTAAACATACACTTTATGCTGAAGTGGTTTATATCGCGTGATATGGAAGGGGTTAGACTTCTCGAAGAATGCAATTTGGAAAGAAAGTAAATAGGAAACCAGAGAGGAAAAACAAAAACATAAATGTGTATAAAAAAATGAGGCGTCCATATAAGAAAGGCTACAAAAACCTCCACTGGCCCTCTGGCATCGGCATACAGCAAAAGGCACCACAATATTACTCTATTTTTTAACATTGTGAAAAAACTGGCACATCTTTTTATGCTGTAAATCAAAATGTACATATAAATAGAGTTTTCCCTATAAAAAAGTCTTTGCTGTTAACTAGTAGACAACTTTTGCTAAAATGAAAATAAATATTTCATTTGTTTAGAATATCTGTCAGTTATATAAAATAAAAATATTTCTTATAGATGCAGGTCTATACTATATTGATTTTTGTCGGTTCATTATCACTCTTTAATGCGGTGTATTGTCCGGTTTGGAGCGTGACTGTGTGAGTCTCGTATGCGTGTTCCCATGCCCACTGTGTCGCCCTGACGAGTTAGAAGTCCGACTGTCCGCCGGCCTGTAGATGGTGGAAGGCTCGGCGTTCATGTTCTGCATACTGAGGAAGGGCGTGCTCTCGCCGTCCTCCTCTGACTCACTATCTGTTAGACAGCTTCGAGACCCATAGTCCCGAGATGCCTCGTATCCTCGTGGGGCCACGTGGCCATTCAGTCTGGATCTCCGCCAGCGCCGGCTTCCAGTTCCACTGGACCCACTTCTCTTTGGTTGCTCCCGAGAGGACAGATACTCCTGGGTGGTCTCATAGTCTTCATCCTCAGCCAGCCGGTAGGGGCTGGAGGGAAGGCTTCCCCTGCTGTCATTTAGATAGGTTCGACGCTGCTGCCGGTAAGGCTCCTGGCAATGAGCATCGTGTAGGGGCACCTGGTAGCGGCGCAGCAGAGGCTGGTCATCCTCCAGGGGGTACGGATTGTGAACAGCAGGAGGGAGCGACATGGCGTGGCTGGCATTGGGGGATGTGATCTGGAAGGTAGGCACCTGCGGGGGCAATGAGTAATGGAAATCCACTGGGGATAGGCGGGCTGGTGTTGTCAGGGCTGATACGTATCTGTGGTAAATACAGAGAGGAGGAGGAGGTCATAGTTAATTGGAGAAGAACAAAGAATTGTGCTGACAAAGACAGCTGCACATACAGTAACCTAGCGTGAATGTTTTAAAGGTATTCTTTAAACTAATGAACATTATACCCTGAAGCTGCACGTACACTTAAATATTCAGTCAAAGTGATTGCTTTTCGATAGAGACGTTTAGCTTAGAGTTTCACCTGAGCAGCACCGCTCCCTGCTGTAGGTGGAGCACTGGGCGTTGGCTACAGGTTGCCCCAAAGTGTAGTTTACTTCCAGCAATCCTCTGCAGTCTAGATAACTATATTACTGTTATATTTGCTACTCGATTACTGCTCAGACTGCTTTTGCTTTTGTGTGCAGAGCTTAAACATCTCTAATGAGAAATATAATATATAATAATATCTCCACTTGTAAAAGCACCATGGAGTCTCCTCTGTGATCTGCTCTGGATTGCATAACCCAACACAGGCACAATACTGCTTTATGTTCAAGACTGACAAAAGTAAAACCATCATTACTATGTTTATTAATGTTGGTACAGAAATCTTTCATAACAACATGGCTCAGGATTTAGTACACAGACATTCAATGTTTTCCCCCAGCAGAGCTTGAATAGCAAACATTTACATCAGTTTTTTGATGATCTACTATGAGCAGCCAGGTTTCAATCCTGACGAGGAAGAAGGACGAGGACTTAACTCTCTTCTTTAATAACCGTGGATCAACCTGCCCAACAAGATCAACGAGTCAAATCTGTAGCTATACTTTACAAAACTCTTCAAAACAAACCCACGTTTAGCCATTCAATGAGCGTACTAACACCGTGCCTGATTGCTGAAGTTAATGTTGAGAATCTATATTTAGACATCGAAAGCGCATACGCTACAGATGCAGAGTTTTCCCATCATTTGTAATATTAAAATAAAAAAAAATAAAAAAGCAACAACAATTCAAAACATTCCTGAAAGACAGGTTAGAATTTATGGATGGCTGACGGTGACTCACTTTGGACCTGTGTGTACAGAGCGTTTTATTTATTTACTTTTATTTCCTTTAGGAAACCTGCTATATTAGACACAAGCCTCAGATATCCCCGCAACACCACTCATTCAGCTGAGGCAGAAACTGCCACCATGATCAAAGACGTACGTGCAACCTGGAATGACTCTGAGGACATGTAATCTGTCGCTGCATCACAACCTAGCGGTCATGCACAGATGCTGCATGCGGGTATTGTCAGTTAAGTTAAGAACTCAAGCAGATAAAAGGCAGCACATGTCGTGTTCGGTTAGGTTTTCTTAGGTACTGATAGTTGGCTTGGATTCTGTATAGGAGCTCCAGCCTCCTTGATACATCCATTTCATACTTCCATTTTGGCTCAGTACTAAAGCCAAAGGTACAGAACAGAATGTTAGTACCGGTTAATATATTAATCAATTAAAATGTGATTATAATTTGGTCTGACTGTTATGCATTTTAAGTTTGGAAAGGTAAGAAAACCATGCTAAGGTAAATCTAATTGTGCCTTTCAATATAATGAATCCCACCGAGCAGACTGTTCTGCTGGATGCTTCTAGACTGTACCACTTTGTATGAAGCATTTCACTTAGGGGTTAAGTATATTCAACAAAGTGACTTTTGAGAAGTAGTCTTAAAAAAATAAACAGCTGCTTTTCCATTGGAATCTTATGTTTCCTTTAGGATCAGCTTGTCAGTTTGAGCTATCAATACACAGTACTGTTTTCCATCTGAAATGGACTAGGCGATG